TGTGATTACTTTATATTTGGCTATAAAAAAAATGGCTCGTGAGCTGAACAATATTCCATTCGACAAATATAAAAAATGAGCTCAAGGTAAAGCCATTGAAATTCCAAAAAGTCGAAGAACTTAGACCGCAACAGAAAGAAAATATATTCAAAAGAGCTAAAGAGTTGCTCCGCTTGGTCGAAAGTGGTGAAAGTGAACTGCCGAATTTGGCTTTTTCCGATGAGAAAACTTTCGTTGTCCAGCAGTTTCTAAACAAACAATATGATCGTGTTTACTTGCCAAAGAGGTCAGCATACCGGCATAACAGCCGATGGTCGCTCTCCGCTCGTATTAATCGACCGTGGCATCAGAATAAATGCCGAATGTTATCGCGAAAATATTCTGGAGGGTTGTGTTAAAGCCTTGGGCACGCAAACATTTTTGCCGCAGACCTTGGACATTCAACAGGACGCACTCAGCTCGCGCCACCCTAGGATGGTTACAAAATGAGGTTCCTCGCTTCATTTCCAGCACACAATGGCCACCAAAATTTCCGGATACCAATCCGTTGGACTATTGTGTCTGGAGTATTTTCGGAAAGCAAGGTTGGCACTAAAAAAATACCAAAGTGTCGATCACCTCAAGCAAGCGCTTCGTCGGGAATGGGCCGCAGAGCAACATTTGGGCAGCGTGTGACGATTTCATTGGACATAATTCGTGCCAAAGGTGACCAATTCGAGCAAATCTAAACTTATTCGAAAATTTGATGCTATTTCCAATATTTTTTGCTTCATTCAATAAAATTAAAAAAAATGTAAAAATTATGCCGTTTGACTTTGTTGCAGTTTTTTTATCTCACCCTTTATCCACGTTGTGATCAGCGTGTTGTCTTTAGCCATCTTCTGGCAAATTGAGGCATGACTGCTGGTTCGGTTTCAGAAAGAGGACAAGTCTGACTCGATAAAGTGTTGGTTAGTGTCAGAGAGACGATGGAGCACTTACTCGTCCTGACAGAGCCTGCAGTATTCGGATTTGCCTCCCCAACACCGCCCCCCCCCCCCCATTTTTAAGTCATGGTCCTTATGTTGCAGTGACCTGTAATTAGGCCCACCATAAGTTTTAGGTCAGATTTCGTCAAGGTGGCTTCACTGAGAGCTTTTAAGGCCGCCTGACTTTCCACATATATAGTCACCGGTCTGTTCAGTTCATTGATTCTGTTTTCCATGGCTTTCCTGATAGCAAAGATTTGATATGTGGCTAAGTCCCCAACTCTTCCCTATAGAGTTTCTACAAGAATAAAGTGCGATTAAGCCACGCTTCGCTCGCTCCTCGATGTTCCTTTTCCAAATTAATTTTTGTTCAAGGACAGTACCGAGGCACTTAGCGTCAATACGAGGTGCCGCACTTCCTCAAGAACCTAATCATACTTCTGGTGCAACCATGGCCAGCAATGATCGCAATGGCAATTTGCTAAAATAAAGTTCACAACAGATCTTATCTGTAAATCTTGCTCCGTACAACCATAACGATGTGTTAAGCAGAGCCAAATTAAAAACTAAAGGAAAAAACAAACAAATTAAAAATAAACACACCTTTATTAAAAAAATTCAATGAAAACACAAAAAAATAGTCAATGGCTGATTAATATTCTGCACCCGACATGGAATTACAAACGTCTGCCCATTGCATTTTCCAAAATTTCAACATATAAGTCCTTATACGTACTTTTGAAATTTTTCCAATTTGGTGTTTCGGCGACGGCCGTAAAGTGGTTTACTATAAAATCAAAAGCATTTTTTTCAAGACGTTTCATGTAATATCCTTTAGCCAATAGAAGCGTATCAACAGCTGTAGCGGCATTCATTGTTTCATTTAATACACTTTCACACATGTTTTTCAAATCCAAAAGTGCATACTTGTTGGCAACAGCCGCGAGTTTTGGAGCCATATGTGTGGGTATTCCACTCCCAGTGTATACATGCTTTAGCATTTCTTGCATTACCTCGGCGTCCATATCATCAATTGACACACGATTGGTTTTGCTCTCCAGGAATTCATTACGGAACATTGCTGCGAAAACATCGCTACGCCCACACAATATAAACTTGTGGGCTTTAAATTCACTTCCATCTTGTGCAACGAGAGTTACATCGCTGAACTCTCCGCTGGATAACATCTTGGAAAGATCTTTTGCCAAGTTGCAAACGAAGGGAATTGGTTTCAATTTGACATTATAGTATTGCCCTCGTTCTTGTATGTCGAAAATAAATTTCACTGCATCCTCTGATAGAATCTTATCGATATCACGCTGTTGTATCTCAAAGACACGAGTCCGCGTTTTATTATTTTTATTATTATTTCGATCCATTCGACGACATAATTAAACTGCACTTCATTGTTTTTCACCCCTGATAAAGAAATTCGAAAAACTAAGTTTAGGGGTCCGAATCCAAGATCAACATCGACGGATATTCTTATCGGAACCGATTTGTTTAGACTTAGACACCATGTAGTTTTTATATTGCCACACGTCCAATTTATAGTAGAGGCTTCCACTACTGTTCCAGGTATAATCAAAGACCAGTTTGTAATTTTCCAAGTATATTGGAATGTTCTTTTTTCAAAGATAGACTCGCAAATTTCGGACATATTTTTGTTGGCAGTAAAATAAACCAGACATACGTTAAAGTTTTTGATTTAATCCGGCGAACGCAATGCGTTTGTCTTGAAATCATGAAATACAATAAATTGGCTCAACAGTGTTATTCCCCGTATTCGGTGATTGTAACGAGCGAGTCAATGTGCAGTTAGTAAATACGTCTCGAGCTACAAAAACACCATGGTTAGTTGAGTCGCAAACCAGGTTTTTTCATCCATGGCGCAATAACAGGGTGTTCCCATAAATTTTCAAGTTTTGAAAATCAGTTTTATTATCAATTTTTTTATACACTTTATTGGCTATTTGTTTATCTTTTGTTCTATGATTTTAACATTAAATTTGGTAGTCAACTGGCTTTGAAGATTGGGTCATTTGCTCATTTGTTTCTTTTTTTCTTTTGTTCGATGTTTGGCCTCAAAGCACAACACAAATATGATTTGTTTTACAGCTGATAGTTGATGCAATCCAAAGAAATCACCAAGAATGGATAGCTTACAGATGTCAATATTTAGAAAAAATAATCATCGATTTTGTTGACACCACAAAGTTTTCTCGTTTTTCAAAGTTTTCATATTTTATAAAGCTAGTAAAAGAAAGAAATGTTAGAATGTAAGGGAACGGAAACTATTGGTAGAAGAATACAGGTAAGCGCATCGACACAGCCAGCAGACGGGCCATTGAACTGTTAAACCAATTTTGGAATTAAAAATGTAAATGTAAAAATTGTTTAAGAACGCATATTTTAATAACCTCCGATTGAAATCGTATAAGAAAACTTGTAAAAATATGCTTGTATGCTTTATGCAAAAACATTTTAAAATTGTTGACATATCAATGTTCCTAAGCGTTGATGCACCTGTACCTGTATTCTTCTACCATGGTAACCATGCTAATTACCTTTTTCCTAATTAGTAAAAGAGTGCGTCATATATGTGTTAACCGATTTTCTCTTTATGAAATCGAAAAAAAAATGCAAAACTAGTAGATTCTTGCAGAGCAAAAGTTCGTCCTGAGAATATGGGCTGTATTCCAGTAGTTTTACGAAGCTGTTGTACCTCCTTATTGCATCCTGGATTCTTGCAGGTTCTGAAACAGTTTTCGCAAAGTTCGCTTACTTTGTCTTCATTGTAAAATGCATGGTAAAATAATATAAGTAGGCGCATGAACAGGTACAATGAGTTGTCAAAACATTTTTGGAATTCAAAATTTTGAATGAAAATTTATTTAAGTTAGTAAAAATTGTTGAAAATCACCTATCATACCAACCTCTGAATGTCATTGTATAAGAAAATCTTTTAGAATTAATTTATTTTTGGAGATATTTTTCAATATTTTTGGTATATCAACGCTTTGAGGACATTGATACGTCAAAAAATTTTAAATATTTCTTCAAAAATAAGTAGATTTGTATATGTTTTCCTATACGACGCCAATTGGAGGTTGTTACTGTATGCATTTTTTAACAATTTCTACAAATTTAAATAAAATTTCATTAAAAAATTTCAATTCCAAAATTGGTTTGACAGTTCATTGTCCCAGCAGCTGTGTCGATATCTATATTCTTCTACCATGATATCATGGGTAAACGTCATGGTAGAATATTACAGGTAACAGCAAGTGTTGTTGTACAACAATCGTAACAACAACCACATACAAATTTGTTTTTGTACGTAATACAAGTGTCAGAGTTATGTGTCCAACAATGTAAACAAAATAATTAATTTTCAATAAATTATTTCAATTCCAAAAATATACATTTTTAAAATTTAGATTATTAAAGTAAAAATGCAGAAGAAAAGTTCTTAAAATATTTAATTTTAATGCTTTCACATTATTCCCCTGAATGTATAGTTTTTTGCTGTTGGTCCTTATCTTTCAACACTTCAAGCAATAACTAGAAAATCGTGGAAAAGGCAACATCCCTTTCAAGTTGAACCCAAAAAGCATACATACATAAAGTATTAAACATTTTGCAATTTTAGGAAACATGAAATATACGAATATTTTATCTAACGTGGTGTCGCTGTTCCTTAACCGCAAAAAAGTTTTCGAACCATCGCCCTTGGTGTTTTGTTAAGTACAACGGCGATTTTTTTCTATTGTTAGGCAAAAAATTATTAAAAAAAAAGGGGTATACCTATTATATATCACGAAATGGAATTAAATCACAAAACGTCATAACGAATTTGACACTTGTATTACTTTAGAGTCAAATCAGTTGGGACTTGCTGTTACCTGTAATAATTATACCATGGCTAAACGTTTAAATTGTTTTTAAATAGCTTCCGTTAAAATTCTCAACCTGTTCTACTGTTTTAAGAGCTACCATTTTACTGTGACTGCTAAACGTAATAAGAATAAGAGAACACTTTTGACAGTTCACGCATTGCTGGGGACGTGTGGTTTGATTAATTTTTGTTGGGAATTCAGAAAATTATTAAAAATACAATTGTAGCGTGTTCCAGAGTGTTAAAGATAACTTAAACAACAAACTGTAACTCACGCTCATCTGAATTTCACAAAATAAATTTCAATAGAATTAATCAACAAACGAGAGCTAGCAGACACACGTCACTTGGCAGCAACTGGTGAGAGTTGAACTCGGTGGATTCTGCAAAAGGGGTATTTCGGTTTTTCACGGTCACATAAATACTCGCCATTGGAAAAATCATATATCTAGACCACAATTTCCTTTTCCATTCATCCATACGACAAGAGCAACAGCGACGCCAATAAAATGAGTAAATTTACTGCAATCCTGAAAAAGGAATTCCCGGCCATGGACAATGAGTCGAAGGATTATGTTGAGGGTGTGCTCGAATCCATTGAGGATTTTGAAACAGCTGATGACATCTACGATGCTGTGGGTGATATATTACAAAGTGTCAACAGTGAAAAGTCCGAGGATGATGTTCGTCAACTGTGTGAGCAATTTTTTAATATCATGAATATTGGCAATAACAACACCACCCAACAAAAGGTGCTCAATGCTCCGGTAAATATTGCTGAAATGGCCAAAAATATGGAATCCGGTGACAGTGACATGCACAGCATATGGCTGGTCAATAAAGATGCTGGCAATGTAGGTATTTATGATAGCTTAAACTCATTAAAAGATCTCCAAGAATTTGACTTTTAAAAAAATGATATATTTTATTGCAGAAAGTTGATGCCAAAAAATTGGAGAAAGCCCAGGCCAAGCTACAACAGAAACAAGAGAAGCGGCAAGATGCCAGTAAGGGGCCTCAGGCTCCAGTTAAGTTACAGCAAGCCACAGCTTCCCAGGTTACGAATAAAAAAGCCACAAAAATGGATGCCAAGGGAACAAATCGCTCCATGGACATTAAAATTGAGAACTTTGATTTGGCATTCGGAGACAAGTAGGATTATGTTTGATTTTTAATGATAAACTATTATTAATTAACTTCCTTTAAGGGTACTGCTGCAAAATGCCAATCTCCTTTTGTCGTTCGGGCGCCGCTATGGGCTTGTGGGTCGTAATGGTTTGGGAAAAACCACTCTATTACGTATGATATCCGAACGTCAATTACAAATACCTTCGCACATTTCGGTACTTCATGTCGAACAGGAAGTTGTGGGCGATGATACACCGGCCGTTGACAGTGTGCTTGAATGCGATACCGAACGTACCAGACTATTGGCCAGAGAAAAGGAAATTATGTCACTGTTGAATAGCGGTACCCAGGATGCAAAATTGAATGCCGAACTGAGCGAAGTGTATACGGCATTGCAAAACATCGAAGCCGACAAGGCAGTGGCGCGAGCATCTGTGATTCTAAAAGGTTTGGGTTTCGACACCGACATGCAACAGAGACCGACCAAGTCATTTTCCGGTGGTTGGCGTATGCGTTTAGCTTTGGCCAGAGCTTTGTTTTCACGACCCGATCTGCTGTTGCTTGATGAACCTACCAACATGTTGGATATTAAAGCCATTATATGGTTAGAAACGTATCTGCAAACTTGGCCCACCACCATATTGGTTGTTTCCCACGATCGCAACTTCCTGGATACCGTACCAACAGATATTATTCACTTACATTCCCAACAACTGGAAGCTTACAAGTACGAACTTCTATATAACAATGAAAATTAAAGTAATTTCCTCTTGTCTTTCCTAGAGGCAACTACGAACAGTTTGAGAAGACCAAAAACGAAAAGCTGAAGGCCCAAAGACGTGAATATGAAGCCCAAATGGCCCATAGACAACATGTCCAAGAGTTTATTGATCGTTTCCGTTACAATGCAAATCGTGCCGCTTCGGTACAATCAAAAATCAAAATGTTGGAAAAACTGTAAGTTTTTGCGGAATATATCGATATTTGATTTAGTTAAAATTGAATTTGAATTTAGGCCTGAATTGAAACCAGTTGAAAAGGAAGTTGAAGTCAAACTGAAATTCCCCGATGTTGAACCATTAAATCCACCCGTGTTGGCAATATCCGACATTGAATTTAGATACAATCCAAAGGATACCTTACCCGTCTTTAAGAATGTCAATCTTTCAGCTACCTCAGACTCAAGAATTTGCATTGTATGTATGCGATTTTAAGGTGCGTGTTTTTGTAATTACCTAACCTATGCTTTGCATTCAACAGGTTGGTGAAAATGGTGCAGGTAAATCGACACTGTTAAAAATTATTGTGGGTCAACTGACAACCCCACTTGGTAACATAACACTTCATCGCAGTCTCAGAATAGGTTATTTCGCCCAGCATCACGTTGATCATTTGAATATGAATTTGACATGTGTCGGGGTATTGGCTGAATTGTTTCCCGGCAGGCCCGATGAAGAGTATCGCCGTCAACTCGGTAGTTTTGGTATATCCGGCACCTTGGCTTTACAAAGTCTGGCCAGTTTGTCGGGAGGACAAAAATCCCGTGTAGCCTTGGCGAAAATGTGTATGGGTATGTATGGATTTGTTTTAATTTCGTACTTTCGCAGTGGACACAAATATCAAATCTTTTGCATTTCAGCTGAGCCAAATTTCTTAGTACTCGATGAACCTACAAATCATTTAGATATCGAAACAATAGATGCCCTAGGAAAGGCCATTAATGCTTTCAAGGTTCGCAATTTTGCGCAATTTTCCATAACACAATATATAATGTTTTTTTTTTTTTCAATGTATCTTCCTTTAGGGTGGTGTCATTCTGGTATCTCACGACGAACGCCTCATTAAGGTTGTTTGCAAAGAACTATGGGTCTGTGGCAATCGAACTGTACGAGCAATCGAAGGCGGCCTAGATGAATATAAACGTGAAGTCTACAAAGAAATTGAAGCCAATAGTTAAATGACTGTTTGTTTGTCCACTGAATTAAAGCGGGGTTTCATGTTAACAGAAAAAATGTCCTAAACTTATACAAATATTCATAAACTAAGGCCAACAATAAAAAATGAAAGTTTTTTTTTTTGTAATCTATACACATGAGATTAAGTGGAATAAAGGTTGGCCTTGACATTAAGTAAAATAGAAAGAATTTATTTAATAAATAATATTGATGCAGAAAATTCGACTCACCACAACAAATACACTATTGTAATAAATTTGTTTATAAGCAAAAAAAAAACTGGAGATATCTTTTTTATTTTTTAAAACATAAAATTTATTTATTTTAACATTGACATGCAAAATAATCACCCTGCCGTATTATTCAAATACGCATGGTTCATGCCAAGGCTACATAGGGTAGTCCAGGACATCTACTGTGGACAACAATTTATGCACTGTTGTGATTTGACTCTGCCAGATGGGCTTACTGGCCGGCCTTATGTAGGCCATGATCCAAACCTGTAATAAAAGAAAGGATATTTTTAGAAAACTATTTTAATTCTTTTTAATGTGGGCTCTTTCAATCCCAAACATTCACACTTTTCTATTAACCCTTTTTATCATGGCAGAAGAATACAGGTAGATGCATCAACGCTTGGGAACATTGATATGTCAAATTTTTATACCCTACACCACAAGGTGGTCAGGGTATTATGTCTTTGTGCATTTGTTTGTAACAGGCAAAAGGAAACGAGATAGACCCATAGTTCCTTTTGATGATCTGCATAGAATCACATTCTGAGTCAATGTATGCATATCCATGTATTTTTGTAAACAAAGTACAGGTCGCATTTATTGCCCAATCCAGATGATATTTTGCACAGATCATTTGTTTGGCCCAAGGACGAACCCTATTGAAATTGGAGATAATCGGTCAAAATTTAGATATAGCTCCCATATATATCTTCGTCCAATTTACCTTTTATTGTGCACCAAACGAGTAATATCAGCCCGAATTGAATGGAATTTTGCATATAAACCCAAATTAGGCCTGAAAATAAGTATACCAAATTTTATCGAAATCGGCTCCCATATATATTGTTCATCCGATTTGTTATTTTTGTTCTCCGCAGCCGTAATATGCACTCTGCAACAACAATATTTGGGGAAATATTTCAAATACAGCTCAGAAATACATTTGCCAAATTTTATCGAGATCGGTTCAGATTTGGATATAGCTCCTATATATAACTTCGTCCGATTTACCTTTTATTGTGCACCAAACGTCTAATATTTGTCTAAATGGGATGGAATTTGGCATTTACGACCGAATTGAGAAGCTAGTATATCAAATTTGGTGAATATCGGTTCAGATATAGCTATAGCCTCCATATATATTGTTCATCCGATTTATTATATTTGTTACCCACAACCGTAATGCACTCGTAACAACGATATTGAGGGAAATATATCAAATATAGCTCAGAAATATATTTGCCAAATTTTATCGAGATCGGTTCAGATTTGGATATAGCTCCCATATATATTTTTGTCCGATTTTAAATTAATTGTGCACCAAATGGGCAACACAAGTCCGAATTGGAAATATATATATTTTTAATAATTTTTACAAATTTGAATAATTTTTTATTCAAAATTTTCAATTCCCAAAATGATTTGACAGTTCATTGTCCCAGCAGCTGTGTCGATGCGATTACCTGTATTCTTTTTATTTCCTATGTACTCCACTTAATGAGTTTGAAATATTTATCTTTATATGTTTAAGTCCTGAGTTATGGAATAAACAACTGTTTTTACGTTCCAAGGAACGTCAAAAATAAAATATTTATTTTTTTTTTTTAAATCTGCCACTCGTCATACGAACATATTTTAGATATGAAAATAGATTTTATTTAAAAAATGACAAGGTCGAATTCGTCAGAAAAGGGTTGCCATATTCAATTTAGCAAATGAGTTTACCTTTATTGTTTTGCATGCGATATTGTCGCAGCCAAATGAAATTTTGAAGACAAATTCTACAATTCCATTATCAAGTCTTTCCTTACTTAAGAGCAAATCAAATCATTAATATTTTTTTGAATAACCATACAGCCATACAGGGTAAGATGAAAAAACTGCAACCAACTACAGACTGCTATCATTTCTAATCCACTCATCCAATAGCTGTTAAAATTATTCCAGTGACAGCTCATTATATTGTTAACAAGTTTGGATACAAAAGCATTTTGGTGAGAATTTTCCAGAAAATAAGTTATTCGTGATGAAAATCAAGCGTAATGGTGTGATTTCTTTATATTTGGCTGAAAACCACAAGTGGATATCCGTTAGAGCACTCCAGCATTTAAATGTGAATAAATCTTTTATGTCTCGTACCATCGCTCGTTACCGTGATACTGGTAGCGTAGCCCGATGTCAAGGAGGTGGACGGAAGAAAACAGCAACATCAGCAGAAATGGTTCGAAAGTAAAGAAGCGACTTGATCGTGAGCTGAACATATCGCAATATTCCATTCGGCAAATGTTGAAAAAAAGAGCTCAGGGTAAAGCCATTTAAATTCCAAAAAGTTCAAGAACTTACACCGCACCAGAAAGAAAATAGACTCAAAAGAGCTAAAGAGTTGCTTCGCTTGGCCGAAAATGGTGAACTGTCGAATTTGGTTTTCTCCGATGAGAAAACAATAGTTGTCCAGCAGTTTCTAAACAAACAAAATGATCGCGTTTACATACTTGCCAAAGAGACCAGGTGAAAATGTGCACTTTCGTTTGGCCAACAGAACTCAAGCGCCGGCCAAGGTGATGGTGTGGACCGCCATAACAGCCGATGGTCCGTCTGCGCTCGTATTAACCGACATGGTACAATAAAGAGGTAGAACAGCTTCGTAAAAGTACAGAAATACATCCCTGAGGCAACGCCCGCTTCCTGTCAGACCCATTCAAAATTATATACAAAAAGTTGTTTTCATTTTTTTTTCATATTTTCCTTTTTTTAGAACGGGTGCGAAAAATAAATGGAATGTCTGGATTTTCTATCAAAAATATAATCCAAACTGTTCAAATTTTCAATTTAATGGCTAAACGGGTAAATAGCTTTGATGCGCAAGCCGCAGTGTACGATTCTTCCACACATTGGTTTGAAAAGATTTTTTTTTTCATTTTTCAAAATAATAAATACATACACAAAATTGGCAGAAGTCGGGCATACTTAGAAAAAAAATTGTAATCAGCTGCTGGCTCTACCTTACCGTTTTGTTGTACCATGTATAATATGATTCTATGGTCTTAAGGCCTTATATTATACAAATGAATTCAATTAAATATTTGGTTGCGTTGTAACGGATGAATATTCATGGAAAGGTGTCGTTCTTGTTGGTACCACATTTTCCAGTGAATAGCCGGCAACGACCTGAGTTATCACTCGTCAGTGATTGGCGACTGTCAACTCAGCTGAGAGAAACTGTGTGAATGAGAGAGAGCATTTTCATAAAACACAACATTATCAATGAAAAATGCAAAATAATAAATGTAAAACGAATAAATATATCCAAAATTGTTTAAATTAACATCACAGAAATTAAGCGCCACCATTATTTATTTGGAATAGTGTAACGCAACAAAGCATATGTTGCATCTCCTATGTATGGGTGTTTTTTCTTATTCTACTTGCGCCACCCCAGTATCTGTGTGTAGTGTAATTTTGTTGTTGTGTGGTGCCTAGAAATTCCAAAAAAAATAAGTTCATAAAGCAAATAATAAAGAGAAAAAAGTCCGCACTTATAGTTGGAGATAAACAATTGACTTGACGGGTAGTTGGTTGCAGCGTATGGTATTTTTTTACGTTCGATAAACTAAGACTTATCTCCTCGTTACCGCTTTTTATTGTCTACTGCCAACGGAATTTCGTGTTCTGTGTAAATTTTTTTTCTTTAATACAAATACCCCAACAATAACAAATTTAAACAACAAGACCAACCATTGATTGTCATTATGAGTGAAACACCAGAGACTAGCAAGAAACGACAAAAAACGGTAAGTTCTATATGTTTGGGATATGACGATTAAAAAATTCTAATTAGGTTATTTGGGTTATCAAATAAGTATGTATGTATTTACATATTTGAAACAGCTGTTGACCTACATACATATATAAACGTGTTCCAGAGATGTTGTGAAGTATGTAAGCCAAACAGGAAATGAGTTATTGACATGTGTCAAATGTTTATTATTGCTACATTCTTATTGGTGCGGTGCAATGTTGACATTGTCCTAATGTGACGTGTATCAAAGAATTGGCTTCGAATGACTTCTTAACATATGTAGAGCAAATGAATTGTTCGAAGATGGTAAAACCCCATCAGGAAATGTAAAAAATTAGCGACTAAACATCGGCTAAAAGTCGTCGGGTTTATAGAAAGTATACTTCAAATAGATAATGATACTCTTTAGTCGGCTTTATAGAAAGTATACTTCAAATAGGTAATGATACTCTTTAGAACATTACTCTACATATGTGTGAGACTTCTTTGGTACCGAACTCGTCACAAAACCACAAAAATTCACAGTTTCTTGAAAATTTGTTTAGACCTAGTTATTTTTGTATTGCATTCTTTGGAACCAAATTCTCGTTTCTACCACTGAACCATGTGGAAATATGCGTGAGGTAACAGACATTGCGGGCCGGAGTATTCCATTTTCATGCTTTATCTAATACAGATAAAAATATTGGCATGTGCAAAATTTGAAGAAAATCGAACATTTATATCCAATTTTATGCGAAATCATAAATTTCGATAAATAACGTATTCATATCAGATTTCTGGTCAAGAGAAATGTTTGGACACAGTAAGTTGTAAAGAATTCCCAACTTGTTTCGCCAAAAAAAAAAAGTGTTGAAAATGGTGACTCTTTGTGGGTGAGGTACCAAAAGGGGTTCACAGAAATACATCATCTTTACAACAGATCCTGCGTTAGTAAAAATATTTGTATGTGTGAAATTTGAAGAGAGTCGGATGCTTATATCGTTTTCTTTGAGCGTTTTGTTTTTTAAATCGTGATTCCGATATGGGGGAGGTACCAGAAGAAACGGTCCGATCTCTACCATCTTTATAACAGATCTTGTTTTGATGGAAATATTGAGATTTGCCAAGTCTGAATGGAATCGGATGTTAATTTCGCGTTTTATGAGCTTAATGGACATTCAAAATTTAGACACTTTATGGGGGAGGTGCCAGAAGGAGTTGA